TCCTTGTTACTAGTACGGCCAGGAGCCCCTAGTAGCGTCCTTGTTACAAGTACGGCCAGGAGCCTCTAGTAGCGTCCTTGTTACTAGTAGCGATGCCGTGATGCCCTTTGCTCCGTTCGTAGCGTCAAAGTGTCTGGTGTCCTAATCTGTCCTAAACCTGTGAGCTTCGAGTCACACCTGTGAGCTTGGGCGTCGCATCGCACGGCAGCCATGGTCCGCAGTGAACCATGGGAGAGGCCTCGAGGGAACCAGGTGAAAAAAACGTGAAAAAACCTGAACCTTTGTGAATGAAAGCAACAAAATGCTGAAAGCATTCTGAAAAAAGTTTTGCATTTGGTTTTGGCGCGAAGATGCCTGCGCCACTCCCACGTAACCAGGAGCGCAATGAAAACCATCCGCAGCTTTCTCATAGCCTTCATGCGTCAACAAAGCCTCTAACCCGATCAATTTGGTTTCGATATGTCCGATCAAACAATAGATGATTCTGTTGCGCTTCTCCCCATCTGCCGTAAAGACACACTGGATCACATGATAAGGGCTCCACCCATTGGCAAAGGAAGTGGATCCACGCAATCCTACGCGATTCGGCGAGAACAAATGTGAATATGGCCAATTCTAATTCTAATTCTTGTTTCTAAAGGCAATTGTTGCTAGTAGAACGGCGAGGAGCGCCTAGTAGCATCCTTGCTCCTAGTAGCGATGCCCTTGCTGTTAGTAGCGTCCTTGCTCCGCGGTTCGCTACGAACGTAACAAGATGGGTCAGTTTGAAGGTCGAAGAACGAACGGCAAACTTCGAGCCGCGCCTCCCAATCCAACTCGCACCTGCCCAAGTACGATTTCGAGTAAACCGAACTCTCGAACTGCAACCGAACTCTCACTTCTTTTCGTTTCTTTGTTCGGTTTTCGACTTTACCTTCTTGTCGACCTTCCGGTTTTCATACTTCGTTGTATTTGGACCTTTTTCTTACACATCGTGAGACCTTTTCTTCGAACCTTAGGTCGTCTTTCTTTTGGAATTTCCAAACCTTTTAAAGTCACATTTCTTTGTGTCTGGTTTTCTTGAAGTTGAAACCTTTTTCTGTTTTCTTTCTTTAGACCTTAGACCTTTGTTTGTTTTCGACCAGGAGCCTTCTTGGTTCCTTTTATTGAACTTTTAAGCCTTGGAGTCCTTGGACCTTCATTGTCTTTTCTCCCTAGCTTTTGATTTTTTGTTTCGAGCGTAAAACCGAACCCTTGGAGAGTTCTGACAGAGTTGAAGGTTACTTAGACGTCAGACTTCACAGGAATAATGTCAAAAAAACACCCGGCCAAGGACGTCAGAACCCGTTCTGGTAGCTTCTTGTTCCTAGAAGTAAGGCCAGGAACTAGTAGAGTCCTTGCTTCTAGTAGCGACTAGCGATGTTCTTTGTTACTAGTAGTTCTTTGTTACTGCCTTCTGGTACATTTCCCAGCTGTAGTCTTTCAGGGAGGTTCACTCAAAGTGAAGTATGATACGCGATGAGTGTTTTGCTGAGGTAGGCCGCGGCTTGAGAGGTTGCTACTTTAGCAACAAATTTCTGCCTTTCCGTCGTTCCGTCGCATCCTTCGGTCCGTCCGCCTAATTCTTGCATGGCTTTGCAACGCGCTAAAACTGTCAACGCCTTTTGCTTGTCACTCTCCTCGACATGGTCTCCGCTTTGCGCGGACCCTGCAAGCCTGCCCGCTTCCCACTCGATGGGTTGCAGCGGGTCTGTGTTGTCGGGGCGACCTGAGTTCATATTGCGTCACACCCACTTCTGTAAATTTCCTTTTCTTGGGTCTTTCAATCCACCAAGCTCATCACACGTAGCATTCTGAAGTTGTTGCTTGTATGGGGGTACCTGGTTCTGTCGTATGAAGGCGGGGAACGAAATAGACAGGGCAAAAGGTTTTCACAGTACGTGCTGACATAAAGTAGAACTCGAGCAAGGTCTGTGCATGTAAAACAAGATCCAACCGCTATAGAAAAAAGAGCAAGAGAAAAGTATGACAAATGAAGAATAAGGAACGCAAGAAAAACTAGACACTTGAGTTGTCCAAGTTGCAGAAACTGGACCTAAGTATATATAGGAACTTGATCGCCGTTGAACCTTGGCAGCCGACCCTGATCCACCGCAGCGGTCGACTTGCCGCAGCGTGCCCTTTTCGCAAAGGCTTCAGTCTTCAACAAGGCTTATGCGAATTGCAAACGGGTTCAAGTCAGTTCTTCAAAGAGCTTTTGGCTGAGGTTGTGATGCCTGGCGGCTTTTTTTCGTGTCGTCTAGGCTCGTGACCCATTGCCAGATCCGCTTTGCGCGCAGCAATCGAACTGGAGGTTTGGATAACCGACCGCCTTTTTGAATCCATCAACTACCGTGGGAATCCGCGAGCGCGCAATTCTTTGAGGTTGAAGGTGTCAGGCGCAGACGCGCAAGCAACATCGATAATAGCTTTTCCATTTCAGGGCAAGTCCGAAAGCTGGCAAGTTCTGCGGCGGACTTATGAGTTGACAACACTTCGGTCACAGTGACATATCGTGACATTGGTTTTGCCCTAAGGGTTGGCAAAATTTTAAAAAGACTATATACGCAGAGCTAGTACTTTTTTGACATTGAAACACGTTGTCAAAACTCGGGCAAGGTTAGCAAACCTAAACCACTTTAGGTTGTGCGTGGATGACCAAGCATCTCTGGCGCGTTCTTGCTCGTGTCTGAATAGCGCATGAATTGGTATGACTAGCGGCCCATGTATAAAAACTGTCAAGAGTACAGAAACATGAGCAAACATGAAATACACACTCAGGCAACAACAGCTCCAATTTGGAAGAACTTTCTGCCGCCTTGTTTCAACCCCTCAGAAACTGTTTCGCCTGAGGTGCGTCGCGCATCAGGTACTGTTCCTTGCCAGTGCTTGTCGCCCCGAGGCAACTTTTCGTGAGCTCCTGTGCCAGCTTCATGGATTCTTCACCTTTGAAACAGCGAGTCGCTGCAACGGAACCAAGCTCGAGAAAAGAAAGCTGCGCCTACAGAAATATGTCTTGAGAGTTGTATTGACTCATATTGACGCTTTTTCTCATCATTGCCATTGAACTCTCGTAGTTGCACGCGCTTAGGCCATTGGAAGGGCCTTTGGTCACGAGCTGGGAACAAAGGGGATCAGGCGGAATCACCCGTGGTGCCCTCCCTGCTCATGACTCATTGATCGTTAAAGCCGCCTCAGCTCCAACCTGAGGCTGGTGTTTCCTTTTGGCTTTTCAGCTTTCGTGGGCGGAAGTTTGAACTATGTAAGCTATGGATACCTTTCTCGGCTTTGACAGGGTTCCTCGAAGTATCGACGCGTAAGGGGGGTTGTCAACTGACCTATAGCGGCGCATTCCACATGAAAATCACACGCCCTTACCTCTCGAGTGGTTGTGAGTTGGAGGCTGGTGGGCGCTTTGCACAATACAAGCCAAGAGGACGCCTTATTGGCGCGCTCAGGCATAAGCTCAAAAGTCTCGCCGCCTCTGAAGCCAAACCGTCTTGAGCATATGCGCTCTATGCGTCCTTCCCTCCAAACAGCTCACTCACATAGGCTCCTGAGACGTCCACAGCCTTACTTTGTGATACGTGCAACTTTGGCGTGGCTGCGCGCGAAAAAACGCAAAGAGTGAACACCCCAAACAACGATATTTCGACATGCGCGCTTCCACTTGCAAATTGCTCAAACCGGTTTCCACATCATCTTTGGCGTTGTTCATCACGTTGTTTGCGTCACGAAAAAGCTGCAGCCTTTCTTCATGCTTCTGGCGCTCTTTCGTTAGGAACACGAGCGGCGATCACTAACACTACGGCTTCGACTTCGATTCAAACGTAGTATCCTAAGCAAAAGTGCATATAAAGCCAACATCCAAAAACCAATAGTGACCCCATTTTGTCTCAAACATTGGCTTTTTTTGTTTTATATTTTTGTTATTTTTTTAATTGGTTTTTTGGCTTTTTGGTATTTCCTCTAAATTGGGATAGGCTTGGATCTCACAAAATTGATCAAAAAATAGCTCAAAACCTCAATTTTGGAGAGGTTGTAGCCAAAAATCACTGTAAAACACCGTGTTTTTGCATCATTGTTTGCATGAAAAACATCTCCCAGGAGCACCCGTTCTGAATTAAAACCCGGTTCCACATGTCCCGGTTTACCTTAAGAGAAGCCTTGCGCAGTCAGGCCTATAACCTCTCTGGGCAGCTCGTCGCAGCGCGTCAAATATCACAAAGCCAGCCGCAACGGCTTGCGTTGGGAACTCAGCTTCCATTGGCAAGAAGCGGTCCAAAGCTGGGCCAAAACACATGCGGGGGTATCTCCCTGAAGGGTGCAGTGCTCAATGCAATGTTCATCTGACCGGGCATGTAGTTGTCTGTCAACATGCCCTCGCTATTGCCACAGCATCGAATCGTGGACGTGGTCTCATTCGAAACATGCCGTCGGGATCCCCCCTCTGATGTCCTCACTTGCATTGTCCTTGGGAGCTTGCAAGAGATATATGTTGAATTTCTGCTGGATCAGTGCCCTTGACCTGTCTTCATCTTCAGCTGCGAGGCCAAGACTCCTGAAGGTGCTCACACTTCTGAATTGCCTGAGCTGCTGTCGCTAGCCGCTAGCCTGTCTCCAATCCGCTCAATCAGGGCAGCAGCATTATTGGGCTCACTGTGTCGAGATCGAACCTGCCGACTCATCTGCTGTTGCATTGCGCTGAAATATACTGGCGCGACGTAAAAAAAATCAAGGAAGCCTCAGCACTGCCAGCCCAAAGGAAAAACAGCACTGTGGATAGCAAGTTGAAACTTGGCCGAGCCAGATCCCATCCCAGTGCTCCACGCACCCTGCAGCGCGCCCCTTTTGCCAGGGTGGACATGGAAAGGGCTTGGGCTTGAGCAATGCCCAAAAGCTTGAACTGATGTGCACACTGAAGAATGCACTACTGTAAAATCGATTACTCCAACAACGCGCACGCAAGAAATCTGGCAAATCTCACTGGGCATGACCTGATGTTGGACAAAACGGCCAACCAAAAAGCCGCACACCCAATTTGCTTTAAACCAAACACATTCATTGCAAACACATTCAACAAACATGGAATCAGGCAAAAAATTCACAAGGTGATTAGGACTGCAAGGAAATCACAAGCTCTGGCCAGTATTGAGTGAATGCTGACTCAAGAACTTGATTCTACGGTTCAGAACCAACATGTGAGACACTCGGAACGGTGCGTTGATGCAGTCCGACAGGTCAAACATGCCTCAAAACGCGGAAACATCTTCCGTCTTCGGTCCATCTGCCCGCTTCGTCTGAGTGCAATGCAGGTGTCAACTTCAGGAATGACGCAAGGTTGCAATGGCAAGCATCCCAAGAACCTTGGAGATAGAGGACACTACTAGGAACAAAGTGGATCGCTACTAGGAGTAAGGACGCTACTAGGGGCTTACTACTAGGAACAAGAGGACGCTACTAGGAGCTTGTCAAACCTGGAGATCGTCCGTGAATGATCAAATCCAACGTCACGACTGCCTTTTCGTTGCACTCGCCTCCGATGCGTTGCTTCTTTGTTCAGCTCGTTTCTGCCGGGGTGCTCCGGCTCCTCCAAGCAGGTGTCGGGGCGTTCGCAACCTCGGCGTTTCGTGGCGCTTGGCTTCTCCCGGCGATCGACAACGAGTCGCTGGCGCTTCAAAGCGGTGCCTGCAAAGCCCGGCCCGCAGACCTTGCCGTCGACTCTTTTTGTGATGAAAAAAGAAAAAGAGGTAAAGACGGTTCCTAGTAGCTACTTGCTCCTAGTGCCAGGAGCCCCTAGTAGCTATAGGTACTCTTTCGAATAGTATTTTGTACTATATTTTCTATATAGGGGGGAGCCGCGAGTGGAGGGAGAGGTAGCTAGGTAGTAGCTAGAGGTATCTAGTAGGAGCTGGGTAGCTAGTACCTACAAGAACGCTACTACATAATATGGACACAGGATAGCTCGCGCTATTCATTTGGTTCCTGAATTTTAAGGAAACTTAACAAATAGCGAGGCCTTCAACCTTTTAAACTATATATGCGTCAAAACACCAATCAAGAAACAAAAAATGTCTCATTTACTTCCAAGGGACCCATTCGCCCTCCCGTTTGACATAACCCGCCGGGATGAATTCGGCCGCAGGATCTGGACCTCGGCACGTCTTTGGCATCTCCAAAAAGTGCGGCATGCGTGACACTAGATATTCACAATAAAGAGATAGCACCTTGGGGCACTGGCAATCGCAATCTAAGAAGCTGCCCAGCAAAATCACCTCCTAGAGCGCAAAGCAAGGGTTCTTCCCTAAACAAGTTTCTCAAGGGACGTATGCATTGCAGCCCCCTTTGGCCTGTTCAGGATCTGTATTGTCGTCCGGACAAGTGGCAAAAACCTCGCGTCAAGTCTCAACGCACACTGCGACGACTCTTTCAATTCTAATTAGATTCTAATTCAATTCTTTTCTAACAGCTTCTTGTTAGTAGTGATGGGCCCCGCCCCGTTAGCGTCAAGTAAAGAGGAAAAAAACTACAACAAACAGAAGAGAGAGCTACTAGTAGCTACTTGCTCCTAGTAGTACGGCCAGGAGCTCCTAGTAGCGTTCTTGCTC